ATCACCGTTTTCATTTCTCATTCTCACACCCTTTACAGTCCATCAGGTCTCCCTCGTTCTCTCAAGTACATGCACTTCTCTTTCTTGGTGCTCCTACCTACCTTACTTGTGGCTGTCATCAACATTGCCTGGGGGACCATAAAAGTCTATGAACTGATCACTTTGCTGCTGTTCTTGCTTTGCCTGCTACCTGTTTCTCTCCTTGATACGTTTTCAACGGTTACCTAGGTGATTCTTTTCTGAACACACTTTCAATCTTACCATATCTAAAGTCCTTCAATGTCTCTCTGTACACTTACGAGAGAAAAGACCAAACTTCTGTAGCCTAGTACTGAACTCATACCTCATATTTTGTGTTTCTGCAGTACTGAATTACTAGTATTTTTTGTATTCACCGTTGTTTCATTTCTGTATGCCTTTCGACATGTCCTTCTGCCTGCAAGGAATATCCCTAAGTTGGTAAACTTCCTTTTATCCTTGGAAATCCTGCTCAAGCATTACCTCCTCTGGGAACTCTTCCATGGTCCCTCTTCTTCCCGTCATCCCCAGATAGAATTATTTCTTTCCTTGTACTATTTCTGTTCTAAACATATACCTCTAACTACTACATATACCACCCTCTATATCTTACTTATTAGTTTATAGGTACTCTTAAAACTACAATTCTCTTCTTGCTTATCGTTCTTCAGTCATACTAAGTCTTAGTTCACTTTGTATCCTCAGTGCCTGGCACCTAAAAGACATAGGTCTTCAAAACTTTTTTTTTTTCCTGAGCTGAGCTGAATAGAACCAAGTCTCTACGGTTTTTAATGTATTGCTGTAATGATTATGTGTGTGTGCGTCTCTAAGTGTATATGTATCCATAAAATGCTTCGTAAATGTATGTGGAATAAGTGAAAGAGAGGCAGACTACTGGCAGGGGGCTAGTGAGACCATAAACACGCGATGATTGCTGCCCCATTCAGTTTTCCCCAACTCGCTAGGCACCCCAGGCACCACCGAGGCACACACACGCGCTGGGGGTGCCTTCGTCTTAACAATTAGCTTACTGAATTGGAATTGTGTTTGTGAATCTGCGACCTCACTGGACAGTACATTTCATGAGAGCAGGTAAGCAGTTTGGGTGTGTATTGTGCTCCTATAGGATTTTACTAACTAAACAGAAGTACTGTGAAGGTAAAGTCAAAGAAGATATAAAATATAATGGTAATAAAAACCTCTACTTACAATTAATAAAAGGCATTTAATTGTGAATTATTATCTTTCTAGTTGAGATTCTTATTTCCACTCGTGCTTTTCCTCAATCCATTCTCCAAACCTTTTTTAAAGAACCAAAGTAAATGTTTACTTAAAATGAGAGAAACAATGCAATGACAACCAGTTACAAATTTTAGAAAGCTGACTGACCAATACCAGGCGTTAAAAAAATCCTTAAAAATATTTTAGTTAACTGCCTGAACCAACCCTATATTTAACCTATATTTTTAACTTCTATGTATTTTTTAAAAGTTTATTTATTTTGAGAGAGAGAGAGAGAGAGAGGAAGGAAGGAAGGGAGGGAGAAGGAGAAGGGGAGAGAGAGAGAGGAAGGAAGGGAGGGAGAGGGAGAAGGGGAGAGAGAGAGCGCGAGCGAGCAGTGAGGGGCAAAGAAAGAAGTAGAGAGAGAATCTTAAGCAGGCCCAACGCCGGGCTTGATCCCATGGATAGTAAGATCAGACCTAATCAAGATCTGGATGCTCAATGGACTGAACCACCCAGGTGCCCCACTTTTATGTATTTTGATTGCCTCTTTATTTGACAACAATTTTGTAACACATTTTCTTCGTGAAAGTAAATAGTTTGGTCATTTCTTCTGCATAGTTGATCAAAATTTATTTTTTTATTATTAAAAATTCAGAGAAGTTGATTTCAGTCATAACTTATTTAGTAACAAAATGTCAGTTTTTAGTAGTGCTAATTTTGGGGAAATCTGTCAAGTTCCTTATGTGAGCTCAACGATTTTAGAGCATTTCAAGTTTTTCTTGACCAGTGTGATTAACCTTAAATCTTCCTGAAATTACTCATTAACCTGTTGCCAAGCTATTGTTGTAGAAGGGTATTATCCATTCTAGATTATCCTTGTAAATGCCGGTATCTCTTGGCAAATCACCAAGAAATTTTTAAAGTTTCAGTGTATTTGGATAAATCATTCTCCTTCAGTTACTAAAAAAATTTGGAGTCTGTTACTTCTATTTAAAATTACTTCTGTTACTTAGTGCGTTGAGTGTCTGTCTCTTGATTTCAGCTCAGGTCATGATCCCAGGGTCATGGGATTGAGCCCTGCACTTAGTGTGGAGTCTGCTTGGAATTCCTCTCTCCCTTTGCCCCTCTCTCCCTCTCCCACACTGTCTCTAAAAAAACAAAAACAAAAACAAAAGTATCTCTTCTTCTCAGTGGATTACTGGTTTTGGTTTGATCTAAACTTTTTTTTTTTTTTCCTGGTTCACTTCTTGGTCACAATAATTTCTACTGATTTCATAGAGTAATATATACAAACTAATTGTAGTGTATGATGTATAATATAAATTTATGTTATATTGTTAAATATATGCTTGAAGAAGAAAACTTCTATTTTGACTATTATGAGAATTGAATCCTACACTTATAATTTTCTACATCTGAGGCTTGGAAAGATTTGACTCCATGGTCCACAGATTACTGATGCTTTGGGTCACTGTCCCTGCTCTTTTTAGGCCCTGATGCCAGGTGAGTTGTCTCAGTGGGGGTAGGAGTGTTCCTGGAAGCTATTTCTACATCTAAATAGCCATAACTTGGGTTATGCGGGGCGCCTGGGTGGCTCAGTCAGTTGAGCATCAGACTTTGCTCAGGTCACGATCTCACAGTTTGTGGGTTTAGGCCACAAACCAGGCTCCCTGCTGTCAGCATGTCAGTGTAGAACCTGCTTTGGATCTTCTGTCCCCCTTTCTCTACCTTCTCCTGCTAGAGCTCTCTCATTCTCTCTCTCTAAAAACAAAACATTTAAATAGCAAAAATTTAACTTTGCATGAAAGTGCTTCTGAAACCACACCTTTTAAAATGGTAAATCCTATCACATTATTGCCCCACCGGATCCCTTCAGTGTTTCCCGTTGCTCTTATAAAATTAAACCGCCCTACCAGAGCCTAACCTTGTATTATTTTGGCTTTTCCCGTCTCTCCAAACTCATCCTCAATATTCTCTTCTTGCTTTTTCTCTTGTCCAGCCATACTGATTTCATATCAGCTTCTGGATTTTGCCAAATTTTGTTTTTCTTGCCCCAGGGCACTAATATCTAAATTCTGCTTACCTAGACACTTTTTTTTTTTCCTGTTCTGCATCAGCTTTAATGTGTACATCGATGATCCCTTTTCAAGAGGCATTACCCTATTCTAGACAAGCTTTCTTTTGCCTTTACGCAACCTCCTTTGGATGTTACTTGTCTTTTGAGTTGTCTAAATACTTCTTCCAGTATGCATAGTTTTTCAATCCGCATCACTTTCCTAATGTTCCCTTTTGTCCCTTAAATCCCTATGACACGTAGGTGTGTGTGTATATAGGCATACGTATGCATGGAGATATATTTTCCATATTTATAAAATAGCTGTTTGGATACCTCAACTTAAATATCCCGTTATGATATTTATGAGTCCCACTCTGATTTGATCATTTCCTTCCCCAAACCTGTTCAGCCTCTTCCATTCCCCACCTTACGTTACCACCACCTATTCACTTGTTTGCCCAAGTCAGACACTCAGGTCACCTAGATTCCCTTATTTACCCTTCCATCCAATCTGTCACTAAACATTGATTTCACTTCAGCAACCTCTCTCAGGTCTCCGCTACCTCTGTGACATACTTTCTTCCTGGAGTTGTTGCAAATGCTTCCAACGAAGCCTTCTCGTGACCGATTTAAATTTGCTGTATGCCCTTGCCCTCAAGCTCTGCCCTCCTCCAGAACGCTGTCGGAATGAGCTTTCAAAATATTCAAAAGGGCAAACTATGAAAGATTTAAGACCTAATTCAGGTCCGCTTCCCCCGTTTCATTTCCCCAGTATCCGTTCCCCAACTCCAGCTAGCCCACACTAGACCCTTCTTCTGCGCTTTCTCCTCTCCTTTCCCGCCTTCTTTCCTCGGCCCAAGTGCAACAACGCACCAGGGACACTGCTCTGAAAACCCTAAGAGGCGGGCACTGCGCCCCCAGCCGAACTCCGTTCCTCCGGCACTGGACTTAGCACGGCCCACCCAAGTGCCGGCGGGCTGGGAGCCCCGCGACGGCCGAACTACCCCGTCCCCCCGGGTAGCGTCCCCATGCCCCCGGGGGAGGGGAGGGTGAACGAAAGAAAAAAAAATAAATAAAGGTGAAGACTGAAAATAAAGGATTCGGACGGAGGGGCTTCAACCAATCTTGGTCTCTGGGGACGGCAGTCTGAGATTAAAGTAACCGTTTCCGACAGCTCGAATGCTAGCCGGACGCGGCGGCAGCGGCGGCGGCGGCGGGGAGAGCGGCCCGCGCCGTCGGGGCCGGCCGGCAGCTCTGACGCGGGAGGCGTCCAGTCGTCAGCGCGCGGGCGGCCTCGCTCACAGAGGCGGCCTCGCTCACAGTCGCTGCCTGGAGCCCGCCCGCCCGCCGGGAGCAGGCGGCTCGCCTCGCGTCTCGCGGTCTCCGGCAAGCAGGGCCGTCGACCGGGGTCCCGGCGGCTGCGCGCGCGCGCGCGCCCAGCCCAGGGCGAGCCTGCCAGCACCTCGGAGAGCCCCGCCCCCCTCCGCACGCCGCGGGAGCCCGAAGCCCCGCGCCCTCCCCGCACGCCCAGCGCGCCGAGGGGAGCGCGCGCGCTGCCGGCTTAACGGTTCTGGCCCCGCGCGGCCGAGCGCCAGACCCGGCACCTGAGGCCCCGCCCCGCTCTCCTCCCGCGTCCGCCTCGCGCCCCTCGGAGCCGCCGTCGGCCCCGCCTCCGCTGCCGCCGCCCCCGGCCTCGAGCGGACGCGCGGCGGGAGCCGTTCCCCGACGGGCAGCGGGGCGCTGGGCCGCCGCGTTTGGGTTGAGCGCGGCGACGCTGCTGCCCCGAAATCCTCCCCGATCTTGAGGCGGTAGGTGGCTGGAGAGGATGAGCCGAACTAGGGGGCAGAAGTCGGGCCCGGGGTGTGAGGAGACGGTGGGCGCCCTCTCCGAGCTCGGCCGCCGGGAAAGTTGTGAGGGAGGAGGTCCCGGGGGTCGGGCTGGACAAATCAGGCAAGGCCCCCACAGGGTCCCCTGGGTGGGTCGTAGAGTGCTAAGGGGGCGAGCCCGTCGCGAGGACAGGGTGGCGACTGGTGTGGGAACACCTGGCGGGGGGCGAGGGAGCGTTAACCCCTGAGGGCAAAATTAAAACGAGAAACAAAAACGCCAGGAGAAAGTTAAGTACGGAGCGCCCTCTGTCCCAGGCCCCGGTCCTTGGTGGCGGGATGGTCTGAAGACTCCTCGTCCCCCATACCCTGGCACCATCACTACTAATTTGAGGCAGAGGTCTTTTTGAAAATTATTATAGTTGTTTTTTTTATTAATAACGTAAACAGTAAGTTAACAATTAATTAGATTAAACTGTAGTCCATAAAAAAGAAAACCCAGTAGGAAAAACAGAGCCAAGAAACATACATACGGTTAATTCGCAGAATCAAATGGTGCGTGAAAGTATATGAAGGTAGTTCACATAAGTTGTATGTAAAGATACGCCATTAAAAAAACCTGAGGTATGATTGACATCTAACAGTTTCAGGTTTACGACGTAATGATTCAGTGTTATCAAGAGGTTTTAATTACTGCTATTTTAAGCGAAGTTAAAGAAAAGGACAATTACATCAGTTATGATAACCGCAAGCACATACTATCTGGACAGTTTTATCCTAAGTGTTAAATTTTGTTTGTATTGAAAGATACTTCAACGCAAAAAAAGTCTATAGTTGTAAAGAGAAGGAATGAAATGGAAAATATTATGGAATGCACTCTCCTCTTAAAACTTTTTGATAGTTTAAATTTTTCTGGCATGTGGCAGCCTGATTTGTGGAATATAAAATATTTTTTATCACCTAAATCATAATTGATTTATCTCTTAATTTCCATTTCCTTTATATTATTTTCAGCTATCAGTTAATCAGTATGTGCTGTTTACTTGCAGAGAGCATTTGGTTTCAAGGAATCCTAACTTTGCATAAATAATATTTTGAAGTTGAAGATTGAGATTAAATCCTGTCATATGGGAAATATACATGAGGTAGATGAAAACGTGGTCTTCACACTTCTCAGATTATTTATTTAATTTTATATGATTGTATTTCTTTTTATTTTAATTCCAGTGTGGTTAACATACAGTGTTATATTAGGTTCAGGTGTATAACAGTGATTTAGCAATTGCATATATTACTCAGTGCTCATCAAGATAAGTGTACTCAAGTGTACTCTTAATCCCCTTCACCTATTTCCCTCATGCCCCACCTTCACCTCCCCTCTGGGAACCATTTGTTTGTTCTCTGTAGTTAAGGGTCGAGCTTTTTTCTTTCTTTCTTTTTTTTTTTATGTGTGTATCTCTTTTTTTCTTTTTCTTCATTTATTTTGTTTCTTAAATTCCACAAGAGTGAAATCATTTGGTATTTGTGTTGTTCTGACTGGCATATTTTGCTTAACATTATACTCTAGATCCATCCATGTTGTTGCAAGTTGGGGGGAGTTCATTCTTTTTTATGGCTGAATAATATTCCATTGTGTGTATATGTGTATATACAAGTGTTTGTATATATATTGTGTATATATATATATATATATATATATATGTAATCACATATTCTTTACCTGGCATCTCTTTGATCTTATTAATTGCAGCAGAACCATTAGCACTTTCTAAAGAGATCTAGAATTTAAGTTGGATATTATTACCACACAGTACATAGTGTGTTTCTTCTGTTGTGACCCATGATAAGCATGGCACTGTTCCATGTCTACAGAATGAGGAAAGCATAGTAATCCTATAATTTATTTAGTGTTCTAAGAAAAATTATAAATTGAGGAAATGGAAATTATTCATATATGCCAATTTATTCAGCAAGTCTTTATATATAAATGTCGCTTGTCATAATTCATTTAAAAAATCCATATAAGCAGTGTCCATATGGAATACTAGAGAGTCATACGTGTCTTTCTTTTACTCACCAAACATGCATGGGCATGAACTTTATAGTTAAATCCTCATTTTTGCCAAATATATACTAGGTGTTCTTGAGAATCTTATTTTTCTGAGCATCAAGGTTTTACATCTGTAAGGTGACTAATAGTGATTTTCTACAGCAGTTAATGATTGGCTCATAATGAAATGAAATAATATATGTAAAGCGTTTAGCATGTAATAGGACCTCAAAAATGGGAGTTTTAATAAAATAAAGAATAGCATACATTGCATAGTAAGATTATGTCCCACTTGGTCTGCTGGTCTGCTGTTAACTCACTATATTGTATTTTTAGATTAATTTATAATTTCAGAATTGGTGAGTCCTTAGGATTTATATTTAGTTTGATTTTTTTTTTTTTTTTTTTTTGATCAGGAAAGGAACCTAAGATATAGTGTAGTATTGCTAGATGTAGAATAGCAGCTAAAGCTTCCTGACATGCAGGCCAGTATTCATAGCAGTTGGCTCTTTGAGATAATTTAACTATGTGTAAGCTTGAAAAAACAAAACAAAACCAAACCTATTCAGTAGCTAGTTCTCAGCATGTATTAATAGAATGAAAATTTTGAGACATTGGATCAAAATGTTTTTTAAAAAATATATCACAAAGCTGTATATTATTCATAGTTTTAGAAGACAACTCCATGATTGACCCACTTCTTGTTATCTAGTGTTTTCAGTAGGATTTTTTTTTTTCTTTTGCAAGTGTCCTTTGTAATAGTCGATACTGTAAATGCCTCCCCTACGTAATATTTATTAGTAGCTTGAAAGGAAACTTTTGGAGCTCTATACTGTTTGAGTGAAGCAGGCATTAGAGTTTAAGACTGAAGTTATTTTATATAATGATTTTATAGTTAAATCTTTATTATTTTTAATCTAAACTGAGAGTTAGGCTTTGGTTTGTGGAGTCCTGTCCTTCATGGATTACAATCCTGTGATTCAGTTTTACAATAATAACTACCTACTGTAAATACTTGTCTTTTCCATTAATAACACTGTGTAATACATGGTGCTCTTGTATACTGTGCATTCCAGATTTACTCCCTATAATGTCAGTGTCTCTATGCAGACATAGCGTACTTAAAAAATTAAAGAGAGTACTGTATGGCATCATCATTTCTCACTTCCTTAACTCATGTGAATTTATGTGTCTGGAACCTTTGCTGTATTTTTCCTACCATAAATTGGAAGGGTGGACGATACTAAAAGATCTTTTATTTTTTGTTTATGTACTTGTGTTGCAAAATCATATAATAGTTCTGTAACTCTCCAACTCTTGAAAATCCCTAGTTTGAATACTGTGGATTTTCATTGCTCAGCAACTAGAAAAGACTTTACAACCTATCAACTCAGTTTCAGCTGAGCAATGAAAAACAAGAACGTGTGTGCCAAAGTACTCTATTGTATTCTGATTCATTAGTTTCATAGGGGGAAACAGGATGGAAAGTTACTAGTATTAGGGTCCTAATTAAAATGTCTAGGATAAACGTCAAATAACACAGCATTAGATTGCTTTTTGACCCTTATTTAAAATTTTCCTTCCATATAGAAAATGTTCAATAAATACTTATTTGTCTGAAATAGTTTTTTGCTACATATGCTTATAAATTTTGTTTCTTCTTATATCAAAATTATATTGCCAGGAAAGTAAGGACAGCATTAGTTTTGTTTAGAAGACTGATAAAAGCCATGTTGAAATACCAGTTAAGAGATACACAGCAAAAGCTCTTTAGGTATTAGTTTGGAATACTAGCTGGCTTATCTACAAACTTAAGGAAAAACTATTTTTGCACTTATTTATAAATTTATGATATTAACATTTGAGTTATGTCTAGAGGCATTTTTCTAACTTATTTGTTTAATTGAAATCCAACTTAGCTAACATACAGTGTAAATCATTTCAGGAACAGAATTTAATGATTCATCACTTACATATAATACCCAGTGCTCATCCCAGCAAATGCCCTCCTTAATGCCCATCACCCTGTTAGCCCATTTCCCTACCCAGCACGTCTCCAGCAGCCCTCAGTTTGTTCTCTGTATTTAAGAGTCTCTTATAGTTGGTCTCCCTCTCTGTTTTTTGCTTCCCTTACCCTTTGTTCATCAGTTTTGTTTCTAAAATTCCACATATGAGTGAAATCATATATTTGTCTTTCTTTGACTGACTTATTTTGCTTAGCATAAAATGTCCAGAGGCATTTTTAAATAGGTAAAAGTAGGTCCCTGGAGCTAACAGGGAGTTATTAACCCTCTTACATATTTAGGGAAACAGTCATTTAGGGTAACAATCTGCTTAAAATCATATGGTTACTTTGTCTCTGGATAAGCAGATGTAAAGTCAGGTGGAATTTTCCTTTTGGTTTTGTCTTAATAGACATCATGATTTGGAAAGCTATATCCAATTCAGGTATCAGAAGGTTTTAGTTATATTTAGGAGGTATTTACATTTATAGATTTATTTAGTAGGTAAAACCAATTGTGTTGCAAGCACTAGGATACAAAGATAAATAAGATCTGGTTTTTTTAGTGTCTGATAACTCAGTCTACTCAAACAGGCATGAAATAGATTTACTGTGGTGCATTTTATAATAATAAATGTAAGGGTCAGTGGAAGAAGAAAAATAAATTATTTTTGTTATTTATTATTTTATAGCCAACTATTAGGAACTGGAAAGCCTCATGTGAATTATTTTATTTAGCATTACTGTTGAGGCACGAAGATATTTTCCAAGCAAGTAAGAACTTGACCTTGGTCTTGAAAAATGAATAGCACTTTGGGAGAATAGCAGCAGGGAGAGTGAAGGAACTCCAGAATGTATAAGTATATGGTAAAACGAAATACCATTTATGAATTCAACAATCTTTTAAACATTCACAGTGTTCTAGACACTGTACTAGACACTGGAGATAGACCTGCGTGGTAGAACTGTAATTTAATGGTCAGGTAAAAGGTAATTGTGACTAGTGCAGTAAGTACCACATGGGAAGAGGGTAGATCCAGGGGTGTCTTGTGAGCACGCAGGGACACGTACCCAGAACCTGTTCATTTGTGCCTAGGTATGGGGTGGAGAAAGGCTGGGCCTCTTCATTCTTGTTGGCTGAAGCATGAGCAGGGCACACCATCACTTCTTAGACTCGGACCTTGGCAAGATACCTAATTTCTCTAAGCCTTATCTGTAAAATTAACATTATCAAAAAATAGTAAAGCTAACATTTATTGAGCTCTTACTGTGTGCCACAGTTTGTGCTAATACTTTTTACATGTATCTTACTTAGTCTTCACATCAAACCTAGGAGGTAGTGACTAGTGTTTTCCATGTTTATATAACTAGGTGCTGGAGCCATAATACAACAGGTAGGCTGACCTGAGATCTGGACTTTAACTTGTAATTGTGCCTAATTGATAGAGTTGTTCTGATTCTTAAATGATATAACTTAGGTAAATGGTTTATTCTACACGACACATGGATGTTGGCCTCTTTCTATTATGAATAATCCAGGAGGTGATGAGGAACTGAAGTTTCCTAAACAGGTGGGTATATGTAAAGGGATCATAGTTTGGAGACAAAGAGGTTATATTCATCCATTTGTTTAGCACCTACTTTGCATCCAGTCCAGGTACTGTGTTAGCTGCTAGAGAAAGAGGGTGAATGAAAATATTATTCCTCACTTCTAGAATCTGCTCCTCAGTTTTGCTCAAGTATAGAAGATAACTCAGTCTATTATAGTAGAGTACAATGTTGTTCTCTAATGCCATGATGTGGGCATATTCATTGTGTCCCAGGAACATAGGGAGACAAGGGAGTGTTTAAATCAGACTGAGTGATCAGGGAGATGAATTCAGAGTTATTGTGGCACTAAAAGAGGAGTTGTGAGAATGAAGAAAATTGATTTGAGAATTGTTTTGGAAGTAAAATGGACAGGAATTAGAGACTAATGGTATGGAGGCTCTTATTTAGATCTTATTTGACCAAAGTTGGTCTGAGGGAGTTGGTGATGGACTACAGCAGGAGAAACATCTTTGGAGTTGAAGTATTGAATTTGATTTTGGATATGTTGAATTTGAGGTGTCAGTGATAAGATATAAATGTTTAGAAATGTTATAGATATTTAGAAAAATAGAACTGGAATTTAAAAGAGAGTTAGATGCTAGATGTATAAATTAGGGCATATTTATCATGTAGATAGGTAGTTGAAATCATGAGCGTAGATTAGGTCAGTGAAGAGGATCAAAGCCAAATTTGGAAGAATTCCTAAATTACATTGGAGAGAGGAAGAGGAATAAGCTAATGAAGTTAGAAGAGGGTAGTCAGAGAAATAGAAAACAAGCCAAAAGAAAAGTCAAAAGTTAAAGGAGTAAAATGTTTTAAAAGAGGGACTGTTCCATTGTGACAGATGCTATAAAGATTGTCACATACTATTTTAAAGGCTTGTGATATTGTTTTCCACGTTAACTCTTTAACTTATAAAGTAGGTATCTTCAAATGAATGTTGTGGTTATTTATATGTATATGGTAAGGCATTTTCATTATCTTGTTGAAAAGATAAGATGTATTTTTCCCTCTTCAAGTATGGAACCTCAAGGTCTTTGTGATAATGGAAACCAAAAAATTGATTGGTAAACCGCTTCAACCAGCAAGACCTGTTCGTCATCTGACTTCTTCCCCTGGTAAGTAAGCTCGGGTATACATCTTTAAATATAATTTGGATAATGGCTAGATAGTATTTGAAAGGCTTACTGATATATAAGGTAATTGTTTATGGTGGATAAAGAAGAATGAAAACTAATGATCTCCTTTGTTTGAAGGGTTTAAAAGTATTAGCAAAGAAAAAGACTCTTGCATAGCCTACCAGACCAACAAAGGTGGGAAGAATGAGTCTTGCCTGAGAAAACCTTTATGGATTTTTTTTTCATTTCTCATTTTCATGGTTAACTGGCTTCTGCTTAGAATGATATTCTCAATACAAATTGAGCCCTCTGATTATAGTCACTGTAGAACAGCATGAGGGAGAGAGAATTAGCCTTAAAAAAAAAATTCCTAACTGCATATAAATGAATGAATGGATGAATTAATTCATTAATACAAGCAGAAGAACAGTTATAGGTTACGGCTATACTTGAGCTGGAACATTTAGTCTTATTTTCAGAAAAGCTAAACAAAAATTTCTAAAATTAAAAATTTCCCTTTTGCTCATATAACTGGTATTTTGGAAAAATTCTTGAAATACATTTTGCTAAATTGGAATATTAACCTTTTAGTTTTTCATTGTTACCTCAATGGCTTCTGAATTCTAACTTAGGAATGTGTATATGTGTGTGTAAATAATATATGCATTTTAATCAATTATTAAATTAAATACTAATAAATACATAAATATATATAGATTATCTCACCATCCTATTAAAATACTCTTTAGTCCATGTGTTCAACTGAGTTACTGGATATTTAGAAAAAGGAAAAAAATAGCCCTTTTATTGGGTGCAAAGATAAAGCAGAAAAGATAGAAATGGCACCAGTTCCTCAGTCTTCTATTTATTCTCTCATCCTTGATTCTTACAAGGAAAATTGTTCTACTTTGGTCATGTTTCTTCTGAAGATAGCTGTGTGACTTAAGACAGACAAATGAAATTAATGAATCTTCTGGACCATAGCTTTAGCAGTATTTATGCCATCTCCTCTCTCTTTTCTTTTTAATATTTATTTATTTTTGAAAGAGAGCATGAGCACGGGAGGGGCAGAGAGAGGGGGAGACAGAATCCCAAGCAGTCTCCACGCTGTCAGCACAGAGCCTGGCATGGGGCTTAATCTCATGGACCATGAGATCGTGACCTCATGAGATCATGACCTGAGCCAAAATCAAAAATTGGACCCACCTACCTACCTAGGTGCCCCAGTGCATCTCCTTCTTTCTGATGTGCTGAAGAAGCTATTGTTCAGGATCAAGTCTCAGATTTTCTCATAGAGGGAAGGGTAGAAAGCCATTGGTAGCAGCTCCTTCTGTGACTAGCCTTTTTACAGCACCTCTTACTCTCCCTCATTTGTACAGATTTAGTTTTTTGTTGATCTTTTCCCTCCAGGGCTGTTGTAGGGTAAAAGGTAGTGGGCTCATCTCTCATTTAATTATATTCTTTTCCAGAAAGGAGTAGGCTTATTGCGTAGAAAAGTTTAATAAATCAGAAATTAATTTTGGTCTTTTTCAATATACTTCTGTACTCCCTAACTAGCTCACATCCCCCCAGAATTCTTTAAGACCCACATAGAATTACTTCCTTTTGCAGAGCTTTCTTCTGTATCACAAAGCCCTTGTATCTTCTCTGTACCTCTCAGATAATATTTTTTTAATCGTAGTAATTGTTTACGAGCTTGTTTTTTAAAATAGTCCATGAACTCTTTTATCTCTGAACTCTTTTCACACTTACTTACCCATCCCCTAACATAGTGGGTGACATTTCACAGTGTTTCGTAGTGTTGAATGAATTTATGTTGAGTAGATGAACCATCAGAAAATATTTCAAAACAATGATTAGAATATGTTAGATACTTAAGGTTTTTAGGTTGTGGTAATGGGTATTTAATGTAGTTTTTTTTTCTCTTCTAACAGGAGTAGTATTCCCTTTCAACTTTCAGAACGAATATCCGTGCAACACTCAGTGCTTACAAAGTGGAGTTAGCAGAGTAAGTTCTAGAAGTTATAATAAAATGAAGCACTGCAGACTGGAAAGTAATATTTGTTAGATGGGTATTCTGTGCCAGGTACTGTGTTAGGGGCTTTATATACTTTTTTTTTTTTGGAATTCCTTTTGAAAAATTTTTTTAAGTTTATATATTTATTTTGAGAGAGAGAGAGAGAGAGAGGTGGGGCGGGGCAGAGAGAGATGGGTAAAAGCCCCAAGCAGGCTCTGCACTGCCAATGTGGAGCCTGATGCAGGGGTTGAACTCACAAATTGTGAGAGCATACCTGAGCCAGAATCAAGTGTTGGATGCTTAACCAACTGAGCCACACAGGTGCCCCATGCTTTATATACTTTTTGAAATTATATTAAAGAAAATTATACCTGTTGCCCAGCATCAAATCTAAGCATTTTGCTATATTTGTTTTTAGAAAAATGCTAAAGAAAACACCTAAATAAAATAATGTTCAAACCCTATATATCCCATTTTCTTTCTTTCTTTATTAAAAAAATTATTTTTAAGTTTATTTTTGAGAGAGTGAGACAGAGCATGAGTGGGGGAGGGGCAGAGAGAAGGAGACACAGAATGCGAAGGAGGCTCTAGGCTCTGAACAGGCATTCAGCACAGAACCTGATGCAGGACTCGAACCCACTAACTGTGAGATCATGACTTGAGCTGAAGTCGGACATTTAACCAACTGAACCACCCAGGCGCCCCTCTTTTTTTAATTTTTAAATTAAAAAAATTTTAATTTTAATTTATTCTCAAATTAGTTAACATAGAGTGTAGTCTTGGCTTCAGGAGTAGAATCCCACTATTTTATTTTCTTCACAACCCTCTTCTTACTCCATGTGTGGGTATATGAGAATAGTTATTGTGCAATGGAATCCTATTTCCTGCCTTCCCCAAGCATTGCAGTAAGTGTGTGCATTAGGTCTTGTTCTGAAGATGGGCCCAGAGAGGGGGTGCCTGGCCAGAGGGACACAACAGCCACATGTGAGGGTTCCATTAGAAAGATGAGCTTGAGCCCCAGCCCTGTCACTTCTTGATGACCTTGCATGAATGATTTCTTTCACTTCTCAGAGCCTCAGTTTCCTCACCTAAAAATGGGGCTAATAGGTGGGTGTAAGGAGGAGGCAGCAGTGAGCTAATGCTCCCAAAGGTCTGAGCACTGTGTCTGGCATGCAGTGATCGCTCGCTCCGTATGTGCATCAGTTCTCCCGGCTGTGTCTGCCGACCGCGCCCCCTTCCACCATCCCATTGTCTTCTCCTCCTCCTCACCTTCTTCCAGGTTATTCTCAATTTGTTCTTATTTCCATGAATGTGTTCATACTTTTGTTACAACAAATAGAATTGTTTTAACTCTTTTGTAATTTTATGTAAATAGTGCCGTACCCACATGTGTTTTTGCCATTCTTTTTTAGGCTTATGTTTTAAAATATCTAACTTTTCAACTAAGTAAAATAATCAAAATTGAAAACATACAAAATGGCATTTAATGGAGAATTTTCCTGCAATCTCTGTCCCCTACTCACTGATTTCCTCTGATCAAAAGTAACCATTCTATTAGTTTCTTACCTAGACACTTCTAGAAATAAGTAATGCATGCATAAGTATAATCATAATAAATAGAATATTAGGCAACTTTTAAAATGAAGCACTTCTATATGTGCTGACATAAAAATCTATATATATGAATACTGCATTTTTTGTTCCATTTTCTCTTGGAAGGCTTGGCAGTTGTTTCTCTTTTATAATACTACAGTGAACATCCATCCATATATTTTATACATGTTTGAGAGGTTCTCTGCATTGTAAAACTGATGTAGAAGCAGTATGGTAGCAGCTAATCCTATGGTTAGCGTTTTTATTTACTGCTAAATTACTCTACAAAGTGATTTGTATGAGGAGTGCATGAGGAGTATGATTTTTCTACATCCTTACCTTGTTACCTTTAGACTTCAACATTTTGTCTTGCTTAATGGATGAGAAATCATTTCTTTTTGTTGGTTTTCATTTTTAATTTCCTATTACTTGTAAAGTGGTGGAGCATCTTTTAATATGTTTACTTTGCCCATTAGGATTTTCTCTTTTCTGAATTGCCAGTTCATATGATTTGCTCATTTTTATTGGTCTTTTTCTTTTTGGATTATATTTCTTTAAAATATGTTTTGGATTTTAATTATTGTTTTTCTTCTATGCAGAGCAAATATTTTCTTTCCCGGGCATATGGTCTAGAAGAGAATTGTTTCTTTTTTGTGGTGTTTTTGTTCAGAAGTTTTAAATCTTAATGTAGTCATATTATTAGTATTTTCTTCATGATTTCACTTTTTGTGTCATCGTGAAGTCTTCCCAACTCGAACATCAAAAGATATTTCCTACATATTCTTCCATAACTTAAAATTTTTGTTTTCGTATTTTAGGTATAGTCTACCTGAAATTGATTTTTTTGTATTAGATAGAAATCAAAATTTTTTCATGTAGATAACCAATTGTGAAGTATAATTCATTGAATATTTATTATTTCCATATAGACTTATAAAATCTTTATTGTACAGAGTTTTCATATACATTGGATCTTTTTCTGGGCTCTTTATTCTGTTCCATTGATCTATTTGCATGTCTTTGTATCAGTACTATGATATCTTACTCTTGCTTTATATTTTTTTAAGTTATTGTAATATTTTATTCTAGCAGCTGGCATGTCCTTAATACAATAATAAGGTTTATAACTCTTTTCAGAACTATTGGCCTTCTTCCAGGAACTTTTATGTGCGGGGCACCTAGATGGCTCAGTTGGTTAAGTGTCTGACTTCGGCTCAGGTCATGATCTCATGGTTGGTGAGTTTGAGCCCCACATCGGACTCGCTGCTGTCAGCGCAGAACCCACTTTGCATCTTCTGTCCCTCTGTCTCTCTGCCCACCCCTGACTCTCATGTGCTTTCTCTCTCTCTCAAAAACAAATATTTAAGAAAACTTCATGTGTAAAAAGGAATATATTATTGCAAATTTTATAGAGCAAAATCAAATTATGTAATTAAATTTACTCCTAAACTTTGTCTGCTGCTTCAGTTATCATGCAAAAGCCATTGTAACCAATGTAAGAGATGCCACATATATGATGGACACTTTTTACTGTGTATTTTTAAAAAAAATTATTTTGAGAGAGAGAAAGTGCAAGCTGGGTAGGGGCAGAGAGAGAAGAAGAATCTCAAGCAGGCTCTGCACTGTCAGCACAGAGCCTGTTGTGGTGTTCAAACTCACAAACTGAGATGATGACCTGAGCCGAATTCAAGAGTCAGACCCTTAACCAACTGAGCCACTCACACACTCTTGTGTATTTTTTAAACCAACTTTATTAAGGTTTAATTTCCCGTGAAGCAAACTCATTGAACCAGTGGGTTGACAGATATATAGCCTGTGTGATCAACCTCACAGTGAAGATCTAGGACATTTTTATCTTCCCCCACAAAGTGCCCTTATGTCCTTTTGCAGTTGTTTACCATCCCTGGTTCCCCTAACCCCTAGCACTCCCTCCTCCTCCAGGCATCCACTGACCTGGCTTCTTTCAACTGCAAATTAGTTTTGACTATTCTAGAATGTCATGTAAATGGAATCATAAGTATATATCCTTTGGTGCTTGAATTTTTTTTGCTCAGCATAATAGTGTTGAGATTCTTTCATGTTGTTGATATATCAATAGTTGGCTTTTCTTTTCCCTTTTTTTTTCTTTTCTGAGAGAAAGAGCAGATGAAGGGCATAGAAAGAGGGAGAGAGAGAATCCCAAGCAGGCTCCACATTGACAGCGTGCAGCCAGATGCAGGGCTCAAACCCATGGACTGTGAGACCATAACCTCAGCTGAAACCAAGAGTCAGATGCTTAACTGACTGATCTATAGTTGATTTCTTTTTAATGTTGAATAGTATTCTGCTCTATGAATATTAGACGATTTGTTTATTCATCAGTTGGTGGACATCGAATTATATCAACTTTTAGATAATGTGAATAAAGGTGCTATGGATGATTGTGTTCAAGTCTGTGTATGGACATACATACAATACACAAGGGTAGAGTTGATGAGTTGTATGACAAGTTTGTTTAGCTTTCTAAGAAACTGGCAGTATGTTTTCTGAAGTGGTTGTATTATCTTACATTCCCACCAGTAGCATGTGCCAGCTCCAGTTGCTTCAGAACCCATCACTTTTTAGCCATTTTAGTATGTGAGCGTTAGTGTCTAATTATGTTTCATTTATTTATTTATTTTTAATTTACATGCAAGTTAGTTAGCATATAATGCAATAATGATTTCAGGAGTAGATTCCAGTGATTCATCCGCTATGTATGACACCCAGTGCTCATCCCAAGTGTCTTCCCTTAATGCCCCACCTATTTAGGCCATCTCCCCACCCATAGCTTCTCCAGCAACCCTCAGTTTATTCTCTGTATTTAAGAGATTCTTAGGTTTTGTCCCCTTCCTGTTTTTATATTATTTTTGCTTCCCTTTTCTTATGTTCACCTGTTTTGTATCTTAATTCCACATATGAATGAAGTCTTAAGATATTTTTCTCTGACTTATTTCACTTAGCACAATACCCTCTAGTTCCGTCCACATTGTTGCAAATGGCAAGATTTCATTCTTTTGATTGCCGAGTAATACTCCATTGTGTATATATGTACACATCTTCTTTATCCATTCATATGTCTATAGACATTTGGTCCCTTTCCATACTTTGGCTATTGTCAGTAGTGCTGCTATAAACATTGGGGTGCTTGTGCCCCTTCAAAACAGCACACCTGTATCCCTTGAATATATACCTAGTAGTGCAATTGCTGGGCTGTAGGGTATTTTTAACTTTTTTGAGGAACCTCCATACTGTTTTCCAGAGTGGCTGCACCAGTTTCCTTCCCACCAGCCGTGCAAAAGAGACCCTCTTTCTCCACATCCTCGCCAACACTGGTGTGAGGTGGTGTCTCATTGTCATTTTAATTCGTATTTCTCTGA